GGGGTTTTGGGCTATTCTCTTGCGGCCAGATTTGTTGTGAAGGGGACAAAATTTTGTGGGGTCAGAGGGCATTTCTCAAAAGGGCCTGTGATTGGGCTTGTATTTCCTTCTCCCTTCCTGTGACGGGCAGTTGCTTACCACTCGGGCCAGAGGGGGAGCTTGGAAATGCTGGAGGCTTCCATCCCCCTGGGAGTCTGCCTTTGAGTCCCCACAGGCAGAGAAATGAATGAGTCTATCCTGCAGCCTTTGTCACTCATGGCATGCACCCCTGCTGACCCTTACAATTGTCCTGGCCCCGGGGTGGCGCTGGGGGCAGGCAGGAGGCCCTGGTAGGGAGAGCAGAGAAAGCAGATGGCTGGCAATCTGCCCTGCCTTCCCACTGTCCCTCTTGGCCTTGGGGATGCATGCGATGTCCCTTCTGCTTTTTCCCAAGGACAAGGTGGGGATTTGAAGAGCTGGAATCAGTAACGTGGCAACTGGTCTTTATTCCTTCCTTGCTTCCCAAGGGACGCAGGGCCCACTATTGCCCCCTTGAACTGAGGGAGGAGACGCGAGGGGTCAGGAGAGGTGGGTTTGAGCCAGCTCCCCTTAATGGTCTCAAAACAAGGAGACTGTGCTGCGTGATTGAGTTCAGTGACTCCCTCCAACTAATTCCCTCCTTCCTTAGTCCCATCTCATTTCTAATTGTCCCTCACAAATCCAAGGGCTCGTCAGGCCCAGAAGCTTTGCAGGGCTCATCTCGAAGTTTAGAGCGCCCAGCTTTGGGCCAGCCTCCAGCAAAAGCTCCAGAGATCCAGCAGGTGTGGGTGGTATTAGATGGTGGGCCTGTAGCCCTGTGGCCTCTGGGGGACCCTGGCTAGTGAGGAGCCTCTCCCAGCCTCCCCTGTAATGGGATGAGAATGTCCATCCAGTAGGGTTAGTGGAGCAAGGACAAGGGCACCGGTTTCCAATCGCTACATAAGAAAATATGCCAGACGTGGCAGCTCAAAGCAAAACCCGTTTGTGACCTCAAAGTCCTGTAGGTCAGAAGCCCAGGCCGGCCAGCTGGCTCTCTGCTTTGGTTCCCCTAAGACTAGGACCAACGTGTTGGCCAGGTTGGGTTCTTGGCTGGAGGCTCTGGGGAAGAATTTGCTTCCAGACTTATTCTCATTGTTGGCTGAACCAAGTTCCCTGCAGTTATGGGACCAAGGTCCCCATTGCCTTGCAGGCTATGAGCCAGTGGCCACCATCAGCTTCCAGGGGCCACCACATGTCTTGGCACATGTCCCTCGTTCTCTTAGGAGCAATGCTGCAGGGAATCCTTCTTGTGCTTCGCACATCTCTGATTTCTTCTTTTGCCTCCAACTAGAGAAAACTCTCTCAAAAGCACTCAGGGCCAGGCTTCCTTCCCACCTCATCCCAGATAACCCCTGCAAAGCCCCTCCACAGCAGTACGTCGGTTAGTGTGATTGAATAACCAGGGGGTGGGATGGGAATCTGGGGCCATCCCTAGAATCCTGCTAATGTCAAGTGCCTAGAAGAGTAGCTGGTGCACAGAAGGTGCCCAGCCTCGTCAGAGAGCTGGAAGGGTGGTCCTTCCCCTCACTGGGCTCATGTAGATCACAGAGGTGTCCCTGTGGGTATGGAGATTCCTAGAAGCTGGAAAGCACAAATGCTAAGCATTTCCTCCTGGATAAGGTAATCTTTTTACAACCATTAGGAAAAAGCCAAGATTGCTACAGAAACGAAGGCCCTAACATCACCCAGCCACTGAACCCATATCAGCATCCCTGGGAAATCACAGAGCAGGGTATGGAGGGGGGTGGTGGTAGGCTTCAAGCAGGGGAGTGACTTGACCTGGTGCAACCAGCTTGGCTGCTGTGTGACGGATGGACTTCAGGGAACAAGAGTGGAATCTGAGAGACGAGGATGAGGTCATTGCGTTAGTCCTGGGGATGGAAACCAGAGTGAGCGACAGAGGTGAGGGAAGGGAAGTGGTGGATTCTAGGTTCCTGGAACGCTCGTGGGAGGGAGGGAGGCTGGGGGTAGAGGGTGCACTGTGTCAAGTGGGAGATGTGGGGGCGAAAATAAAAGTGCAGGACTCTGCACATGGACAAGTGTGCAGGTCCAGGGCAGAGGAGCAGCTATTCCCTGCGAGCCAGCCTCTCCGAGAATCCCAGGAAGAGTCTGCAGTGTGCATTCTGGAGAGGGCCAGGGACTCGGCACGTTTAAGCAAGTGCCACAGAATGCCTTCTTCCCCTCCAGCTCGAAAGCTTTAGCTCAATTCAGGTCTAGTCCTTAAGGCCCAGAGAGGCCACAATTTGCCCAGAGCCATAGGCCATTTAAAGGCCACCTGCCAGGACACCTGGGGGGCTCAGTCAGTTGAGCGTCTGCCTTCAGTTCAGGTCATGATCCTGGGGTCCTGGGATGCAGTCCCGCATCGGGCTTCCTGCTCAGTGGGGAGTCTGCTTCTCCCTCTGCCTCTGCCCCCCACTACTCATGCTTGCTCCCTCTCTCTCTCTTTTTCTATCTCTCAAATAAATAAATAAAATCTTTTTTAAAAAGGCCACCTGCCACACAGTTTACCCATCATATCTGGCTGCCTCCCACAGGGGCTTGTTCTCCCACCATTTGTCCTTTAGAAGGGCTAATGTTGCTTTGCTAACACATGAAGTTCACCTCTAAACTGTAGGAAAGAACAAGGGGCTTTCTAGAGATGGAGCTTTCTGGAATTTTGTGCCATGCCTGAGAGATGATGTCCCAGGGGTCACGGGTCTGACATCAGCAATGCAGGCAAATTTTCATCATGTTGCCCCATTCTTTCCCTCCTCAGAAGATGGGGCCTGGGAGGAGCAATTAAAAGTGGAAATGGGGATCCCTGGGTGGCTCAGCGGTTTGGCACCTGCCTTAGGCCCAGTGCGTGATCCTGGAGTCCCGGGATCGAGTCCCACATCGGGGTTCCTGCATGGAGCCTGCTTCTCCCTCTGCCTGTGTCTCTGCTTCTCTCTGTGTGTGTGTCTCTCATGAATAAATAAATAAAATCTTTAAGAAAAAAAATTAAAAATAAAAGTGGAAATGGTTTGTCCAGAAAGAGAGCTGTCATGCCCAGCACTTTCGGTGCCAAAGCGCCTGGCCGAGGAATCTGGATGAGCGCTCAGTTGTGAGGCAGTTCCTGCATGTAAAGAAAACTCCATGCTCGGTGCTCTGGCAGCCTCGGGGCTTATAAACGCCGTCCCCTACCTCCAGGCAGTGTGTGGGGGGGTGGTGAAAGTCCAGACTGGAGAGGTAGACAGCCTGGTTCTCCCGTTTACAAGCTGTGTGACTTCAAGCAAGCTCCCTGACCAATCTGAGCCTTGGTTTTCCAACCTCGAAGCAAAGTCGATCATATCTGCCTCATTAAATTATTAGGAGTAAGCCAGCTGGTACATCTGAAAGCAATTAGCAAAGTGCCAGGCCCTGGTAGGTGCTCAGAAACATCCCTTTTTTCCTTCCCTCCTTCCCATCCAGCTGCACACAGCGAGGATAACTACACTTGTGGCCTGATGGTTTCCCCAGAACCAGGTGCCCCGCGCAAACAGCACCTGCGGTATCCACCTCAGCGGACCCTCAGGTACACTGGGAAGAAATGTTTCCAGCTTTGTGCTCAGGCTCACCCCTGGATGAAAGGGTGCTGTTGAACCAGCCCCAGACCCCCAGAGCCTCTGTCCTTCAACCTGGGTGTCCCAGAGGTGACTCAGGTGTCCAGTGCACCACTGACCCCCATCCTAGGGAGAGAGACTCATACAACCTGACCTGCCCTCATCAGCAGCCAGGACAGATACAGGTGTGAGGCCAGCACAGGAGGCTGGTCTTCACCTTCCCCCTAATGACGTGGCTCCCCCAGATCTGCTGTATTGTTTTCTGCCTCTCTTGCTTTGCTCTGTTGAGGCCCTCTTCCCACCTTTATGTGGCCAGAAAGCTCTGGCCAGCCCTTACAAGTCAGGAGGACATTATCTTCTCCACAAATAAGGTCCCTCATCTGAAGAGTGGGCCAGCATTTGTCCTCTGGCCCCCTGTGACTGTGCCCGTGATCTTCCCACTGCACCGTTGTCAAGTTGTCTGGTTCACACCAGCTAGTCTGTGGGCTCCTCTGCACAGGGACAGGCTCTAATTCAGCTCCATCCTGCACGCCCGGCCCAGAGTGTGGCACAAAATAGCCTCTCTGGGGATGTCTGTAGACACGAACCCAGCTGCACTTGGCCTGCTGAGGCTGATGTCGAGGCAGACAGGCTCGCTGGAGTCATTGCCCTAATGGGTTAGAGACCTGATGATGAAGTTTATTTCTCATGCTTATGAAATTAGAGACAGCTTGCAATGTTGGGAAAAGTATAAGGAAAAGAAGAATGAGTAATACTCTCTCCACCCGGAGAGAGTTCCTGTTCATATTTGATTCATTTGCTTCCAGGCTTCAATTCTAATGCATTGTTCCATGTTGTATTGTTGGCCAGAGTTGTAATCCCTTATGTATACAACTTGGCAGGCCCTGTTTTTCCCTGCTTATCTTTATAATATCATAAGCATTTCTCTCGAGTGACTTGTAAATATCTTTTAAAAACCGTTGCATAATCTCATACCAGGTAGATTTGCCATTGTTTACGGAATGAATCCCTGTTATTAGATATGAGGGTTGTTTCCCCATTTTCATTTTTAAAAAGGATACCGTGACGGCTCAGCTATGCACACAGTCGGTTGTTTATTTGGAGGTCCAGGGCCCAGTCCACACAGCTGCCAGATTGATGTGCCAGATGGAGCCGCGGCCAGCTACCAGCACAAACACCCACAGATGCATCATGTTGGAGCCAGACAGGATTGATCTGCTTTTCTTTCTTTTTTTCTTATTTAAAGATTATATTTATTTATTTCACAGACACAGAGAGAGCACAAGCAGGGGGAGCGGCTGGCGGAGAGAGAGGGAGAAGCAGACTCCCCACTGAGCAGGGAGCCCCATGTGGGGCTTGATCCCAGGACCCTGAGAGCACGACCTGAGCCGAAGGCAGATGCTTAACTGACTGAGCCACCCAGGCACCCCTCTTTTTTTTAAGTGGAAAATTCACACACAAATTCTATTTTATAGCTTCCTTCGAAGGGTCAGAAGACTGGGTGGACCCTGGGTCCATGTTCCTGCATGTGAGCACCTGCTGGAGCCTGCCAGCTGGTCAGGTGGGGTGTGAGCTCTCCTTTCACCCTGGTCTCTTACTCACAGGGATCCCTCCCTCTCTGTAGTCCCCTACATGTGGAGGCCAGGTGGCAGCAGCCACTTACTACTGCACCTGGGCTGATTTTCTTCTCAATGAGAAGAATCAGATATTTCTCTGACCTATACTTCTTTCAAAATGCAGGCCACACTGAAAGGGCTTTGCATCTCATAAAACACAGGAGCGATCCTTTTCTTGGTGCAGATGAAGGATGTTCCTCATGATTACCATGCACATTGAGTCTATCTTTGTAGAAAGAATGCCCCCGGGTCTATAGGATCACGCCCCCGGCCGAAGGCAGCGCTAAACTGCTGAGCCACCCGGGCTGCCCTCTAGGTGCTGTTGAAAAGACTGAATGTGCCTTGTAGGTCTAAAAATATCTTTATTCTACTCTCATGCTTGAATCTTAGTTTAGTTGGGAATTTAATTCTATATTGAAAAGAAATTTTGCTCAGTACCCTACCACCCAGCAATTGCACTACTAGGCATTTACCTCAAAGATACAAATGTAGTGATCCAAAGGAGCACCTGCACCCCAATGTTTATAGCAGAAATGTCCACAATAGCCAAACTATGGAAAAATCCTAGATGTCCATCAACAGATGAATGAATAAAGAAGACTGATATATAATATAGAGAGTTATATATTATGGAATACTACTCAGCCATCAAAAGATGAAATCTTACCATTTGCAATGATGTGGATGGAACTAGAGGGTGTTATGCCAAGCAAAATAAGTCAATCAGAGAAAGACAGTTATCATATGATTTCACTCAGATGTGGAACAAAATGAGGACCACAGGGGAAAGGAGGCAAAAATAAAATAAGACAAAATCAGAGAGGGAGATAAACTGTAGGAGACCCCTAACTCTAGGAAACAAACTGAGAGTTGCTGGACGGGAGGTGGGTGGAGGGATAGGGTAACGGGGTGATGGGCATTAAGGAGGGCACATGATGTAACGAGCGCTGGGTGTTATAGGCAACTAGTGAATCACTGAGCTCTACCTCTGAAACTGATAATACAATATACATTAATTAACTAAATTTAAGTAAAATAAAATTAAAAGAAATTTTGCTCAAAAAAAAAAAAAAAAAAGAATGCCACTAAATCACTTTGTGAAAGCTCCAGACAATCCACATAGGTTCCGAGGCCCTGGCCTGTTTCCCGCATTAGGGTTGTCTGTGAGGCACCGGCTCATGCTTCCAAAGGCAGCCGCTCCAGTGGGAAGCTGTACAGTCGGGAGGCTCCAGGCAGCAAATGAAGACATTCGATGCGAGAAGATTCAAACAGTGAGGACATGTACATCTCACATAACTCTCAGTCCAGAGGCAAAGAGCTCCAAGTACAGCTCAGTCTGTGTTGGGTGCTCTCACCAGAGACCTAGGTTCCTTCCAGTCTCTCTACTCAGCACTGATGTCACCCTGATGCTGGTCCATGTCCCATTGACCACTGGGACAATGTGCCTCCCTAGTCACCCTCACCAGGACAAGACACACATAAGACACTTCCCTAACCACATAGATGGCTTCCTCCAGCCTGACCAGGCCAGCCTGGGACACATGCCTGCCCTCTGTTGGATGGTGTCACCTGAGGAGTGATGCATGCAGATTGGTGGCATTAGTTGGGGTAGTGGTATGGATCTTGGGGGTCAACCTCACGTCCACCATTGATGTCTTCCCTGAGGCCCCCTGACTCTGCTCATCTCAGTTCTGGCTGGGCTTTCCATTTGCAGGGAGTCAAGCTAAGCTCTTCTTGAACAAAGTCCCACATGGAAGCCCTGACAAAGCCAGTTCTCCCCAAACCAGGCAACCGGGGGGGGGGGTGGCATACCTCTGTCGCCTGCAGCCCTCTTCTCAGAGAGCAGACAGGCTGCTCCATTTCGAGCACCACAATCATCTCACATTGGGCTGGGGACTCCAGATTACATCTGAACAACACCATATTTTGACATGTACTTTTTTTTCAAGCGTCCCCATGGCCCCAGGAGACCGACCGATTAAGGCAGCACCCAAGTGCGCTGTAGAGCAGCAAACGTTTCAGTGAATGGGAGCAGGGGTAACCTCTGCCATCAGACTTGCCATTCCTTGCAGCGGCCACACTACATGCCGATGTGATGGGACCTGGGCCAGGTCCGCAGGGGACCTGGTTATGGAGCACTGTGGGGGGCAGGGGACAGCTGTCCTCATTTCCAGGTTGCATGCCCTGCACAATTGACTGTTCCGGCCGGGAAGGTTTCCCGGCTAAGCAGTCGGCCGCGTAGCCTCTCTGCCACCTGACCCTGCATCGTGGGCCCGAGCCAGCTACAATCCAGGAAGCTCCAGTCGTGAAAATGATGAGGTACGTAACAGCCCAGGGGGTGGGCAGCTGCCTTCCCGATGCTAAGGTAATTATGCCTCTGCCACCATTACCCCGGACAGGGATGGGTCTCCAGAGAGCTCTCTAAACACACATTAGGCCCGCAGCCAGGGCTGCGTTCTCTTGCAAAGATGTTCTTTCACACTTAGCAGTGGGAGAACGTTGGCACTGGAGAGGATGACTTGGGGGATCTGTGAGGCTGAGTCTCGAAGCACCTGCACAGGGTGACCTGGGATGCTGGTAAAAAGGACAACCCTTGGGTATCAGCATTCCCCACCCCCCCACCGGCATCAGGCCCTCTTGGTAAACATATCATGTGCGTTTGGCATCCAGACAGATCGTGCAGTTGTTGAGCACGGCGAGTGATGGCGTTGGTCAGAGTACCCATGGCTTACTGAACTGCGTGTGGCTTTGTTTGATCAGCTGTTGAGAGAGGGCCCTTAAGCCTTCTGTAGATGACAGCCAGGCTCCACTTCCCCAAATGTGCTTCAAATCATACCTTTCTATTTGAAAACGGGTGAGGGGAGTCCAGCAAGGCCAAATCCCATAGCACAGCTTTCTGGGCCTCCAGATTCCAGCTCTGCCGGCTTCTCCAGCCTCGCCTCTTACCCAGAAGGATGGTCCAAGTGTCCTCAAGGGGTCTCACTGCCAATGAATCAGCATCCAGAGTGTGGGTGAGTGTCAGAGAGTAGGACTTACTCCCTCAGCCCTCCTTGGGGCACGACGAGCCACACCCCAGTGACCCCAAGCACTACAATTGTGTTGGCACTTGGAAAGAGCCCCATTTGAAATGGCAAGTCAAGAGTGCCACTTATCATCTGGCAATTTTGAGCAGGCGACAGCAGGCTCCTGCTAGGTCAACCTTGGTTTCTGGCTATTTCTCAAATTGTAGCCGGCAGTAGAAGGGAAGCAATATAACATTGTGATATCACGTAGAACGCGGGCTACTCTCCAATTTCTCAAGAGGAATCTGAGATTATGTTTGGATAAGTAATAGGAGTTACAGAACAAGAGAGTGGATCCAGGGGAGGCCTCTTTGAAGACCAATGATTAAGTGGCCAACCGCAGTTAAAGTTGATTTATTCCAACATTGCCAAATGTTGGGGTTCCTCTGGTAGGGCCTCCAGGCTCTAGCCCCTCGACCTCCATAAAGGCTTCCTTGATTTCCTTTTCAGACTTGCTTCCAGCTCCCCACCCTCTCCCCCACCCAACCGTCCCATCACCGCCCAATGCGTGTTTGCTCATATCCTATGTTCAGGTAAAATGATGAAAATAAATAGAGGCTCTGGAGACAGACTTGGGATTGTATCCTTGGTCCACCACAGTGGCTTTAAGAGGCTGAGCTAATTGCTCAACCTTTCTAAGCCTTGGTTTCCTCAGCCATAAAGTGAAGCTAATAATAGGAGCCTCCTCGTAAGTTCTTGTGGAAGTTAAAGAGGTGATACAAGCAAGGTACTAGAGCCCTAACCCAGAAGTGGCGCTCCACTGATGCCCGTGGCTAGGGTGTTGATGGGGGTGACAATGATCACAATCCTTGGTTCATTCTGTCTCCAATGTAAGCGATTCTCTTTACCTGTGATTCTCTTTACCTGTCTCCCCTTCTATGATGGAACCTCTGAGAAGGAAGAAATTGTATCTGATCTCTGGATCCCAAGCACCCACTGTATACCTGGAACAGAGTAAGCAGTTGGCAAATGTCTGTTAAAATGCAAAATGAGGCGACCCAGACCCTAAAACTGGCATGCCAGCACATTTCTTTCTCAACAGTGTAAAGGACTCAAAACTTCTGGAATCACCAGAAGGCTAAGCATTCTGTCAGAAGACATATTTTCAGACTTATCTAACGTAGTTGCTCAGGCTGCCCCATGCCAGGGGAGATGTGAGGTCAGACTTACTTCTCACTTGCATCTTGGAGTCTTGTTGGTGTGTTATTGCTTGTTGAGTTCCTGCAGTTGTACACTCCAGGATGCAGAGTAGGACGGCCTGTTTCAGAAGCTGGCTCTGCTCCGCTTATTTAACACTGCCCCCCTCCCCACACTGGGGGACTGGGCAGGGAAGGGACCAAAAGATGGGCCAAGGCCAATCTCCCACACCAACCCATTTAATATATTGGTCCAGAGGGAACTGGCTGGCGTGTTTTCCCATTCTTGGCACATGCCTGCAGAAATGTTTGTTTTGCAATGTCCAGGGGAGCCGCAGGTCTAGAACAATGGTGAATGATTTATTTGGCAAAGTGTGTTTGAGTTCCAAAGTGTTGCTAAGTACATTACATCACTGTCCTTTCTTTTCAGCTCTAGCCAGTGGTTTCCAGATCCATCCAGGAAGAATTTCACTTCCTTCACATGATTTTTTTTCAAGGTGCTGCTTTATTTTTCCCCCCAATCTCCCTAACCCTTGGAAAATTATCACTGTGCCTCTCAACCTTCTAGCCGCGGGGGATCAATGTTATATAAATGTTAAAGATCAAATTTAAAAATGATAAAGATCAATCGCAAATGAGTCCTAGTCCATTCTGTATCAGAATCCTAAGACTATTAAATTACTCGTTAGCTAAACAAATTCTTCCCTTGGAGAAGCAGTTTTCAGTAAAAATCCAGACAAAGAGTTACCAGACACTTGCTTCCCCAGAATGAATGGAACACAGAGCAGGAATTGATTGATACACTGCTAAGCTAAGGAATATATCTTGTACGTGTTTTTAAATAAAATTGTTTGTAATTTTTATGCTATTTTGTAACTGTCACCTTGTAGTTAAAATATATCATGGGCATTTTCTTAAGTCATTAAATCATTTCCCCCCACAATAATTTTTAACTGTTCCAGAGTATTTCGTCAAATGGCTGTTCCATAATTTATTCATCCAAAGTATTTTTGTTGGATGTCTGGAATAGTCTTCTCTTGATGCAATTCATAATTTATTTGCCACATGTCCAGTAAGCATCAACCACTTGCCAGGCCTTCAGTGGATAAATAAGGCACAATCCTGACCCTTCAGAAGCTCCCAGTCGATCTCATGGTCGATTGCCCTGAAGCAAGTATTCTATCCACAGACATGATGGACTAGGCACAGAGACAGGCCTACTTCTCTAATGGGTGGGGACTGTCCCAAAGCCTGCTATCCCCACTCACCCAAAGTGCTCAGACTCTGAGTGGCACCTGTTAGAGGTGGAAGGCTCACACTGGGCTGGGTGCTAATTCCTCTTCTCCTTTTCTACCTCCTTCTAGGGTACCAATTCTTAACCCCTCTGTGGGTTTGTCTCAGCTGGTGGACTCTAAAAATACCAACACCTAGGGTGCTTGGGTGGCTCAGTCGATTGAGCATCCGACTCTGGATTTCGGCTCAGGTCATGATCTCAAGGTCATGGCATCGAGACCCACATTGGGCTCCATGCTCAATAGAGAATCTGCTTCTTTCCCTCTGCCCATCCCCCCGGCTCATGCATGCTTTCTTTCTCTAAAATAAGTAAATAGATCTTTTAAAAAATTTAAAGAAACACCAATGCCCAGTCTGATCAATGATAAACCATGAATAGGACTTGAGAAGTGGTGTGCTGGGAAATACCGAATGGTCAGCTCTCAAAAAAGTATTCATATTCATATTTATTAACGTACATCAGTTTATCATAAATTTTACTGGTATAAAGGATGGTTATGACAACTTACAAAATAACTTAAAATACGTAATACTCTTTCTTATAAATTCCACAACCAGTGATTCTTACAGAAAGCATTTGCCGGGATCCCTGGGTGGCGCAGCGGTTTGGCGCCTGCCTTTGGCCCAGGGCGCGATCCTGGAGACCCAGGATCGAATCCCACATCGGGCTCCCGGTGCATGGAGCCTGCTTCTCCCTCTGCCTATGTCTCTGCGCCTCTTTCTCTCTCTCTCTGTGACTATCATAAATAAATAAAAATTAAAAAAAAAAAGAAAGCATTTGCCAAATCTGTGGTTGCAAATGACAAAGGAAGCTAGGTCTACCATGGATGATGGCTGGCGCTTTCATTTATGTTAATAAGCATGACAAGAGTGAAACAACACAGTGTGTCAGAGCTTCACTCACCTATCAGTGACAGGAGCGACTTCTTTGCTGGATTGCTGAATATTCTCTCTCGTTGTACTATTCACAATATAATAGCTACAAACAGAACACTTTTTTTTTTAACAGAACACTTTTTGAAGTGTCATCTGCATTATTAATATTGTCTCCACCAGTGTCATAAGTGTAGACAATTAACAAAATGACAAATCAAGCTCTGATTGCTAGCATTTGCTGATTCCTGTGGCCTAAATTCTCCTGTGGCTGATTTCAAGCTACTGGTGTGACATCACTGAGCACAGACCCAGAGGAGGTGCTAGGTAATGCCTCATTATGTACAGTTTCAACCATCCCGATGTGTTGGGCCTAAATGACCCCAAGCACATAGGTCACATGTAGTGAAATAGTTTGAAAATGAGGACTTTTGAGTATTTTACAGCATTGTTTTAAACAGAATTTACTTAGCTATAAATTTATGTAGTTTACCTCTTGATAATATCCATGCAAAACTTCTGAAAATTTAATCATCAGTTTGCACAAGCCAGGAAAAGCCAGCTCTCCCACAGCACCAGGTCCAAACCCAGGGACTGGCATCTTTCCAAAGCTTCCCCGGGTTATTATGATATCCAGCCATTATTGGACAGGGCAGAGGTTCTTTCATTGTTTGTTTGTTCGTTCTGTTTTTGTTTTTGCTGGTGAACTCTTTAAAGTAATTTTGGAAATTATCCCTCCTTCCATACTTAGCTTGACACCTAAAACTCATCTTGAGATATTTGCAAAGCCTCGAATTTCCAAAATATTCTAAATACTGATATTTTAAAACTAAAACTGTTTCATCTCACTTCTAAAAGTATCCCATGGAACTTGAGTGACCTTGAAGCCTCTGTTAGGAGAATTTTATTTCAGATGCAGCAGGCCAGGTTGCTGCCATGGTCGCTTCCAGTGTCCACTAGTTATGTCTGTTCTTCTCCCAGATGCCTTCCAGGTTCACTGTATTTTGATTCTTGATTTTAAAGCTTCTTTCTTCTCCTTCACTTCCAAGAAAAACTATAATAAAAAGCACCTTATTCTAAATAAGTAAGTAGTAAGTAAGTAAGTAAGTAAGTAAAAGTATCTGATTGAGTTTAAAATCCATAACCATTTGATACTAGGTAGAGAAAGAAAAAAAATCTTTCTTCTTTAAACCTTCTAGGTTCTTGGCAAGGGCTCTATAGCAAAAAGATTAACAAGAGAGGGATCCCTGGGTGGCGCAGTGGTTTGGCGCCTGACTTTGGCCCAGGGCGCGATCCTGGAGACCTGGGATCGAGTCCCACGTCCGGCTCCCGGTGCATGGAGCCTGCTTCTCCCTCTGCCTGTGTCTCTGCCTCTCTCTCTGTGTGTGACTATCATAAATAAATTAAAAAAAATTTAAAAGATTAACAAGAGAAAAACAGAAAATTATTAGCAGGTATGTTTCATACATGTGTGGCAGAAACACAGGGATGGGTAGCTCTAAGGGGTGGCTAAAACTTGGGCTTATCCAGCATCTTCAAAAGGAACAATGCTTTTGTAGAGAGATGTCAGGACAGAGGTTTCAGGCTCCCAGGGCAGCAGACTGCAGGAAGACAAACATATGGGGGAAATAAATGGAGTCAAGTTTGTGTGCATGTTCCCCTGGTGCCATTTCTGGGCTGATGAATCTAGATCTGTCTCTAGTAAATGAAAATTTACACCTTACCTTGAAGCAGAAAGAGGGAGAGTAGATAGAGCTTTTCCTGCATTTGCTTCATCTTAATTGCCCTCAGCTCAAAATAATTCTTATGTAAGAGATACATATTTTGGCATGACAGATTCTGGCTTCCTTCTATACCCATTATCAAACATTTATGTTATACATAAATAATTCATTGTCAAAAGTTATTATATATTTTATAGTGTTCTTTTTTTTCTCTTTGAACTCCTATATCCACTCCATTTTCCTCCCCTCCAATTTGATTTCAACGTAGTAAATAAAGTCCTTGGTGGCCACGAAATCATGGATATAAGTAGAAATGCAGATGATTTTTATTCCCTCTGAACGTACACATCAAATGTAAGAAGTTTCCTGAATGGAGATGTCATGATGATGACTACCAGTACACAATTTGTCTAAGCAAGAGAAGATGTTGCAGACTGTTGCTATCCAAACAAAAAAGTAAAACATTACTGGAAATGTATGTTGTGGTGAAGGTCTACTGCTTTCTCCCTCCTTAGTTCATGTATCTGTGGATGTGTATTATTGCAAAAATGCATGCAGGGCAGGCTTCAGTTCTGTGCTACTTTTTGTCTTTATAGGTATAAGTTCTGACCAGCTTTTCACAAAGAACAAGTAGACGGGATAGAAGGAGTTTTGTTATAATGTCACTAAATTCTCCAACCATCTTCTTTTTTTATGTTTAAACTTAGATGTTTTTAATTGTGTTATGTATTGAATGACTCTTATTTATTTATTTAATTCAATTTGCCAGCATATAGTATAACACCCTGTGCTCATTACATCACATGCCTTTCTAGTGCCTGTCACTCAGTTACTCCATCCCCTACCCATCTTCCCTTCATCAACCCTCCGTTTGTTTCTCAGAGTCAAGAGTCTCTCATGGTTTGTCTCCCTCTTTAATTTTTCCTCACTCAGTTTCCCTCCCTTCCCTTATAATCCCTTGAGCTATTTCTTATATTCCACATATGAGTGAAACCATATAATTATCTTTCTCTGATTGACTTATTTCATTCAGCACTGGAGGGTACTCCAGTTCCATCCACGTCGATGTAAATGGTAGATATTCATCCTTTCTGATGGCTGAGTAATTTCCATTGTGTACATAGACCACATCTTCTTTGTCCATTCATCTTTCGATGGACACCGAGGCTCCCTCCACAGTTTGGCTATTGTGAACATTGCTGCTATGAACATTGGGGTGC